TGAGAAAGGTGCCAGCTTGGACCCTTTAGTGCACCAAATATTTAATGGATTCAGAGTCATGGTCTGCATGAAATCAGTTACTACTGATTCAGCTTTTTTTACCTGCTTAAGTTCAGAAATACAGGCTAGATTCCCTTGCCATCTCCCAGCCAGGGAGAGAGGGTAGAGTTTTAGCTGTATCTATGATGATTTATTTATTAAAACATATAAATGTTCTGAGGGGGGAAAGAAGGAGTCATTTCTTAGGGGGCAATGAGCTTCTGTTAAGGGTGATGGGAAATTTTGAAAACTGATTAAGTGGTATTTGTTGCAAATACGAATGTAATTAACGTCACTGAATTGTACACGTAAAAAATGTCGAAACAACAAATGTTTTGTTATACACACACAGACGCACATACTTTCTACAATAAAAAAGATATGAAACAGTTATGAAGAATATTAATATTATTAAATCTTGAAGGAAGGTATATAACCCGTTACTGTCGAGTGGATTCCAATTCATAGCGTCCCTGCAGGACAGAGTAAAACTGCCCCATAGGGTTTCCAAGAAGTGCCTGGTGGATTTGGACTGCCGACCTTTTGGTTAGCAGCCAAACTCTTTTTTTTTTTAATTGTACTTTAGATGAAGGTTTACAGAACAAACTAGCTTCTCATTAAGCAGTTAGTATACATATTGTTTTATGATATTGGTTAACAACCCCATGACATGTCAACACTCCCTGTTCTAAACCTTGGGTTCCCTATTCCTAGCTTTCCTGTCCCCTCCTGCCTTCTAGTCCTTGCCCCTGGGCTGGTGTACCCCTTTAGTCTTGTTTTGTTTTACGGGCCTGTCTAGTCTTTGGCTAAGGGTGAACCTCAGGAGTGACTTCATTTCTGAGCTAAAAGGGTGTCCGGGGGCCATACTCTCAGGGTTTCTCTAGTATCTGTCAGGCCAGTAAGTCTGGTCTCTTTTTGTGAGTTAGAATTTTGTTCTATATTTTTCTCCAGCTCTGTCTGGGACCCTCTATTG